TTCCAAAAAGGAAGCACTCATGCCAACTACTGGCAAGCGGACTTTGTTTTCGTTTTGCCGCGCGGCATGCCGGCGCCAGTGCACAAAATGCATTCCTGGCTTCAGATCCAAGCCGATGTTGGGTCGAATAATCTGGTCAATCTTGAAAGAAACGAATCTTCCTGCACAGCCTGAACAAAAAGTCTTCCTGCCCGTATCCCTTGCATCGTGCCCTCTCCTTTCTTGGTGGTTCCCAGCCATCTCGGTCCTTAGCTGTTTATTTGTTTAGTCGGTTTCGTGGTTGGGTTTCCGAATTTAACCCACAAGTTTTTCACTTTGAGCAGATCAGAAAACGGACAGCCCAGCTTTTGTTGGGACCCAAGAAGACTTTGAGCAGATCTGAAAACGGACATCCCAGTTTTCGATCGCAAGTTGTTGGGCCTCCAGCCTTGCATTTGTCAGGGTGCCTGCGCTTTGCTGTGGCCCAGCGTGGAGGGCCGGTGCATGAGGCAGGGCCCAGAACAGCTGCCGCAGTTGTTTTTTTCAGCCGCGACGCTGCATTGTTCATAAAGTCCTCGTTGATGACGTCGCTCATCATGCAGGCCATTATTCAGGTCAAGGCCATGGTTTCGATTCATTGGGTGTGAGGTTCAAAGAGTGAATTGAGGCCTTGAGGCTTGGCACGTGTCACAGGATGTGCTTTTCAAGGCAGCTGGACTTCTTTGAGAGGCTGTCTGAACCATTGCCAGGAGCGCCGATGGCTGAATGTTGCGCATTTTAGTGGGAGAGTCAAGTTCATTGCTTCAGCCTTGCGGTCATGATGGCAAAATGGCTTGACATCGTGCACTGGTGATCAGCAGACGTGCCCCTAAAATGAGCCAGGAGGTTCCTTGGCAACACAACTTGCTTCTGACAAGCGCAGCTAACACCGAGGAATGGATAAACAGAAAGCACGACACTACAACTGTGCTAGAAATACAACCTTCACAGGTCTCAGTCTTCTTGCATCAGAGCACATAGCAGGTTGCTAAACAATTTCAGCTTGAGGCACCTAAATATCATACAATCATAGTCTTGTACATTCCTGTATCAACAACATGACCTTTCTGGACACTGTTGTCACCAACAGATTTAGCACACAAACACAACAAATGATCATCATGAAAGGCGAGGCTTGTCGTATGCAATGTCCGATTCGAGTTCAGCAAACGTCCAGGACATGTTGCCGGCTTGACCCACAGGACAAAAGGGAACGTTGGTTCCCACCATTCTTGGTCCCCAGCCATCCGAAGAAGCCTATTTTCGTTGGTTTAGTGGTTGGGTTTTCGAATTGAAACTCCTCAGGGCTTAGGCCGCATCTTCTGCATGACTTCCTTCGCGGCTGGGTCGCGATTGGCCCCAGGTAGTGCTCCGGGCTGGGGAGGCCGGAGCCAGCGGGGAGGTATGCCGACATTACTTCCATTGAATTCTAGCCGTACCTTCCCCATTCTCTTCAGAGATCCTTCTCAAAAGATAGGTCAAGGCCCCTAGGAAAATAGGCGGCTTGTAGAAAGAACGATGGGTGAAGAGAATCGGGAAGCAGTCGTTGATTTTTCCCCTGTTGGTTTTCATGGGAATCTATCTCTACCGGGATATTTGTACTTTTCCAGGCGGCTTAAGCAAACGGAAGATTAGTGGCAGAGGAGGTTGGCGAAAAAAGGGGTATGTCGTTGCATCAACTTGCTCGAATCCTTTCAGCGAAATTATCTCGCTAAGGTCCGGCATTTTGCCGGATTACGAGGCCACTATTCAAGGGGCTAGGAGTGTCATGCATTTGCATCCTTATCGCATTCTGCCGGAGCCTGTCATCGGATTGCTCACGGTTTTGTTCCCTGATGTTTTCCGACTCCAGATGGTCAGACCAAATGGAACACCAGCACAGCAGCAATACTTTCATTTTTGTGCCATCCTTTCCGCTTTGAGGCACATATGGCTTGTCAGTTTGCTGGCGCTGAGTGTATCACCTGTGGGCAAAACGAGCTCAGACATGATGAAGCTTCGTTCCTCCGGCAACATCTGAAGTCAGTTTGGCGACTCGACTACTTCATGTATATACAGATTGATGCGAGTGTCCTAGGTCATTTCACAGTTTGTGCTGGCCGGCATTTACCTTGGGCCCCTGGTTTGCGGTTTGCCGGTGTCTTCGACACATTCGATGTCGTGGAATTACCTGAAGACGATGATTTCAACTCACAATTTATTTGTGTTTTTCCCGCGATGATTGCCTTCCTGGTGCGCTATGACATGTCAACATATATATATATATATATATCAACCTTATAATCTATACTTTAGAGATGCAAATTGTATCATTTGATTGCATTCTTCAATCCGGTCTCGTTTAACCAATGCAAGCTGCCGGGCAAGGGTTGGAGACCTTGCCAATCAGTTCAATCAGATCGACTCCAGATCGCAGGAAGTACCCGAAAGCAATTGACCTTGCGACGCGGCGCACAGCTCCTTTGAACCTTGCTGGCAGAAAATGCTGGACTGAGCTCCTGTTGTTTTTGGGAAATGGTCGGGCCTTAAATTTTCTCCTGGTTGTTTGTGGCAGTCAACCCAGGCACCCAGCAAGGAAGCGGCACACCAGAAGGCCATGTCAGGAGGTTTGTACTGTACGCCAGCCTGGAGGGTCAAGTTGGCCCAGGGTTACATTGATAAGGGCCTAGTTGTCATCTCCCAGGGCGAGCTATGCCGATGCTAGCTTAGAACTGAAAGCACGGAGTGTTGAATGAGAGCTCGGCGACAATTCGGAGGCCCGCCTGTTTGAAACTGAGGACTTTTCAGGTGGCAACGGAAACAAGTTTTCATCCAACACCTACTTTAAGCAAAATCCAAGAGGACTCCAGCTCTAAAAAACCCAGGCGCGACAAACAGCTCTGCGCCTGATGGCAACAACAAATGCATTGTTTTTGACATGTTGCTCGGGAGCCTCGTCCAGGCGCAAAGGACCACGACCAACTCCCCCCCTTAGAACCCCGCCTTTCAACCCAGGGGTGGACGAAAAAAAACCTCCCCAAGTTCCCAAGCACCGCTTTTTGTCACTTTGGGGGCTTCTCCAAGCGCTGTCGTGAGGCGGTCTTCTTGGGCCGCGCGCCCAAGGCCTGCGTGGTGGTCCATGACTCCAGCCCGGGGCCTTGGATCGGCTCCGCGGCGTCTTACGGGGGCAGCTTGAGTTTGTCTAGGGCCCCCAGCTAGGTGCCCGACCGCTCACCGTTTCTTTTTTATTTGGGAGGGATTCTCTGCGGAAATGGACAAAAATGAAAAAAGGTTGGTACCATAGGTGTCCTTCTCAGGTTAGCGTGGTTAGTAATAGAAGGCACTGGTTTAGATGGGTTTCATTCCATTTACCAGGGCCATCTATTTTTCCAAAAGGATACCTATGGTTGGTACCCTTATTCTATCCTCTCTACTAGTCCTCAGTTGTTTGCAACAAAGCTCTGTTTGAAGGGCAAATGTATCTAGAAGATATACAACGTGTGAATTGGTTAAACATATTCATGGGGTTTTGAGTCTGCGAAGTGGCAACTCTCAGTGTCCATGCCCCCCCGATCTGAGGCCGTTTTAGCGACCAAGATGCAGACCTGCTTTTGCTCTGGCACCCGAGCGTTATTCCCACTGTGATGCAAGGGAATCCCCTCTTAAAATGGAGGGTTAGTCTTGAGGCCCTGTGTGTGAGTTATATCATCAGAAGTTGTCATTTCCCTCAACCCTGGGTTGGGAAGTCAACTTGCATGAAAAACGCGCCACTGAGATCACATCATGTGAGCATCAAACAATGTTTTCGGGAAGGTCTTGGTATGGAATGCTCAGGGAGGTCTTAGAGTGCATGGTTCCTGTGGGTATGTGGGCTAGACCAGTGAAGGCGACTCAGATGTCAGATGTTGACTCGTGTTCAGCTTAGCGTTTTGCGTCTCGTGGCTCCTGACAGGAAACAATCTGCTTTTTAGCAACACTGTGGTAATCCTCTCCAGGCAGAGCATGTGTTAAACTTGTTCTTGGGCTGCTCGGTTGTTGACAATGCTTGCACGCGGCCTCCCAGTGCACAATGATTTGGTTGTCGCAAGGTTCATTGGGCTTGGCAACATGCACTTAGCAACATGCCCCGAAGCCTCGTGAATTGGCGTGTCAGGCGCATAGTTTGCAGGCAGGCAGGGTTTCCATGCGCTGTATATACATGTTGTTTTTGTGAAGCAAAAGCAGGCTGTGACATTCGTAAGTTTTATACCTCCGACTCTCTCTCTCTCTTTCTCTCTCTCTCTCTTTCTCTCTCTCTCCGAATCTCTCTCTCTCTCTCTCTCTGTCCAAGCCCCAGCGCGGTTGGAGTTGCACGGACCCACGTCTAGCTTGCATCGATCACTTCATGACATCGTGGCTCGCCGTGCTGCTGGTTGCAGACATCAGGCGGCTAGATACATGCGGCTACCCCGGGCAGCGGATATTTTGCCAGCACTGTGGGTAGGATGTAGGATCATACGGTGCGTACAGTCTTCGGTGCTTCTTGTAGAAGTTACGGCTGTCAGGCAACCAAGCATGCAACACTGCCTTTTGATGGGGGGATGCATGCATGCTGAAGGCCGTGCATTAACAGTGCCCCCGAACATTTCGTTGGGTTTCCATGCGGTGTCCCAAGCGATTGCACATGGCAGCCACCCATCAGGTAGCAAAACTGTGTGAAGAGGGTGCTGTTTACACCCAACCGATTGGCAAAGCCTTCCTTAGTCCCCTTTGCCAGCGCTACTCCATGCAAGGCACACACCTCACGTGCAATGATGGATGGACTACCGGCCAACCAATGAAGCCTTTGGTGCATGTTGCTTGGATGTTAGGACTTTAACTTTTTGCCAGCTAATGGGTTTTCCGTATTAAACCACTAAAAGTTACTCACTTTTAGCAGGGGAGCAGATTTCGCAACCGAGAAGCCACCCACCGCTACGACTCTTGTTTGCGGCTGCCGTGTTTTTCGCCCTCATTCGGTGCCGGGCTCAAAGTGTAGCAGATGCTCTGTAACATAGCCGCATCGAGCCACGAGCCGACGGATGGGTCGATTGAAGCGCAAGATCAGCGACACCATCATCTACACCCACCAGGCGAGATGGGATGGATCTTTCGAGTGTTTCTCTAGGTCACAAATCAAAAACAACAGCTGGTACCCTTATTCTAACATCTCTGCTGGAGGACCTAGGTTTTGCAACCGACCAGCATGGAACAGCCCCTAGAAGAGGCTGAAAGAAATTCGTGTAGGCGGACTGCTTGATCTGTTGGTGATACGCGCGCTGCATTTGCTCTTGACGATCGCCACGGATCAGCTGCTTGTTGTATGCGTGCGCTTCCAAGAATGAACCTGCATGAATCTTGAAGCGCTACTATATGCTGCAGGCTTCCTTGCCGGCCTCCTTTGCGGCCGTTCAGTGGCCGCAAAGTAGCCCTACAAACAGACGTGGGCATCGGGAGGTCCTTGCGGCACATCATTGATTCAGGCAGCTTTTCTTGGTTCCCTCCGCCCACCCGCCGACCAATGCCCTCGGTTCTTTGACCAAAAGTGGACCCCCAGAGACTGGAATGGATCCGATTTCCACCATTCCCGTGAAAATGGTCAAGCTTTGGGCAGCTTTTTCTAAATGGAATGAACTTTTTGGGATTCTCTTAAAAAAGGACACAATGTGTCCTTTTTTCAAGAGAATGCAGTTGGATGGTTTTTTTCTGGGTCATTCCAAGGAGGTTTCCCATGAAAATATCCGGTGTCAACCATGTTTCCCATGAAAACAGCTCTGGGCAAGCACAAGTCCATAGGCAGGTTTCTTTTTTTTTGTGGGACTAGTGTTAATAGCGACAGTAAGCAGTGTTTTCCCAGACATTAGTGTCATTCCAGGCTGAAATGGCTGTGGGTCAAAACCAATGGTACTATGTTGGGGTAGGTGCACCACCCATTTTAGAACCTATTTGAGTGGTTGGATTGGGATGTTCACTGGGGGTACTATTTGGATTTTGACCCATGGCCAAATCCGTGTTTCGTTTTGTTTTTTCTTTTCAGGAGGTTTACAAGCTGGTGCGTGACCGCAAGATCCACCTCGCGGAGGAGCTCTTTGCCCTGGCCGAGGATCCAAATCGGATCGATCGGATCCATCCGCTGTTATTGGGGCGGTTCGGGCGGTTCTTGGAGATGCAAAACCCAAGTCTTTGGACGCTTGGTATGAAAGCCCCTACCCCAACAATGGAGCCTGCCTCTCCCAAGTTGGCAGTATCCAAACACTTGGCGTGCAAGGCAAAGCTGCTGCCCCCCTGCCAAAAACTTAGAGATGGGGAACCAAGTTTTTCCAACCTTGCCTTACATGGGGGCTTTTTGATGCGCCAAAACTAGGCTTCAAAGGTTTTCAGGGTACTTGGGCGACACGCTTGGGGTGGGGCTGGGGCATGTCCGAAGAAGATGTTCGCTTTCCCTTTCCAGTCGCCAGAAGAGGACTTTCAATTTCCAGCCGACCCCGCGGCGCCAGGTGGATGGAAGATCGCCTTCTTACTCAGGGAAACCAACTAGCAGGGATACCACGTGAACCAGGGATACGGGAGGATTCAGTGAGGATTCCCCCTAAATGCACCTTGACTAAGTTTGTTATGGGACATGGCGCCAAGTTGGAATCCCCCCATATTCCCGTTTCCCCGCTTCGTTTGTCCAACTTATGACGTGCTTGTCTGACATCTTGTCAAAGGTTGAGGTCGTTTGGGCCGTGTTTGCTCAAATCAAAGGCATGTGTTCGGTCCATAACCCATTGCCATTGGGGAATCTTGGCCTGATTCTCCATTTCAGCTATACGGTTAATTAAGCCATAGGGGTTCATACCAGGGGTTCACATAGTTCCGCATTTATGGCGAGCTCACCGATTTGACAGTAAAACGAGCGAACGCCATGATAAAGGTCCTTTACTTGGGAACCCCGTATTTGAGGTTTTGGAATTCTTGTAAACATTGCAGATGTGCACTAAGAGGCTCAAGGCCTCTTTGCATGATGTTACATGGATCCTTATTTCTAGGTATAAGTTGCTTTGGCTGGCACCTTCTGATTGCCAGTTCCTCTTGACGCATAGATGGTTTCAGATGAATGATCCTGCCAAGGCATCTCCAACAAAAACTATGCCCCCGGAGTTTTTATGCACCATGCCTACGCCCTTGAACATGTGCAATGAGAAGTCGGCACAAAAAGCTCAAAAGAGATCATACAGAACCCTTATGCAAGAATGTTTGAGTAAGTGTCAACGCTCCCAGATGCATGCGCCACCGATTGGTGAACTGATCCGCCCAGAAGCTCATGTGAGGAATGTAGATCCCTATGTGAGGAAATGTAAGAAGGTATTCATTCTCTATTGCAACTAGGGATTGGTACATGTTGCTAAAGTCCTTGGAAATGGCTCAAGTTAGGTCTCAAACAGCCCCCTTCCCAGCCAGTCATTCCCCAGAAGCCTTCTTTTCGTTTCAGACCTGGCCCTGTTTTGTCATTCAGCTGTACTGCAGAAGCGCCGGTGAAATATTCAGGGCATGCCAGGGCTAGGTTCAGTGACCCGCGGGAGTGATTTCCTGCCTCAGCTTCAATGCTTTGTTGTTTGCCCTTCGCGCTTGCAGAACTCTTGGCTCGCATCAGTAGCAAGCTGGTGAACATGTTGCCTGCCATTGCCAGGGCGGTTAGGAACAACCTGGCGGCCGGATTCCTTTAATCAGGCAGCTGTGGGAACTGGTTCCTTTGCTCAGGCAGCTGTGGGAACATCCCCATGAAGCTAGCTTGAAGCAGTTGACTTGGCCTGGCTACGTTTCTGCCAGGAGATGAGTGAGGGCGGCGACCCCGGCTTGCTGAACTACTGCAAGGGCGAGTTGGGCCCCAAGAGGCCGGAAGCCGCTAGATGGAAGCCGCCGGATGGACGCCTGAAGATGAAATCCAAGACTAGGTCCCCCGGCTAGGTGCCCTTTTCAACCCCTTTTTTGGTTGGGAGGGTTCCCCTACGAAAATAGACTACAGAAACAAGTTAATACCCTTATTCTCACCTCTCTACTGGAGGACCTAGAAAAGGAAACCATGGCAACACACCAGAAATCCAGGTAGGCATATACAATAGCTCCCAGTGAGGCCCCATGTTGTGGCGTTGGACAGGAACCTGCAGAAGAGCATCGACGCCATTTGGCTGCCACAAGTCCAGGAGGATAGAGACCAGCAGCACCGCAAGGCGAGCCGCCAAGTGTTGCCTGTGACAATTTGATAGATACTAGGTCCCCCAGTAGTGCCCTCCTCCCCTTTGTTTGGTTGGGAGATTCGGTTCCCCTACGAAAATAGACTACAGAAAAAAGTTGGTGCCCTTATTCTAACCTGTCTACTGGAGGGCCTAGGACCCCCCCAAAAAAAAAGCACGAGGCACGGAGAGATGTCCCGAACAAGGTCACGTGCTGAAGTTTTGGTTGGGGGCATGCAGGGAACCTTTGATGCCTTCGTGCTACATGGGTCCCTTTGGATCGGTGGGAAACCTCACTTTTCACATGGCCACGGGTCAAAATCAAGCCACCAGGGACAGGGTTTAGTCCATGTGTGCAACAAAGCAGGGCAACCCATGTTGGGATTACCCTATGTTTGACCATGACGGCCACATCGACACGGGGCCCCCCCCCACCTCCGCGCTGCGGAGCTGCGAGGCGTTGGGGAAGGAGAAGTTGTCGGAGCTCCAAAGACGAGCCCGCAACCCCAAGAAGCGCAAGGTCGAGGAGCTGCAGATCGTCCACAAGAGCGCCACGGGCACGGGGGATTTATTCGCGGGGGCAGCGGTGTCCTTTAGGTTAGCTTGCGTAGAAATGGCGCTGGCTTTAGATGGGGTTTTGCTCCATTCACCAGAAAACCCATCCATTTTTTTCCAAAAGGCCGCCCATGCGCGGGGGATTCGTCTTGGGAAGCCCAAGGCCTTTGCGAGAAAGAAAGGCGGGACACCCATGAAGCAGTCCTGGAAAGCGGGAAGGAAGCCCATGGGGCAGTCGTGGAGCACCGTGGCAAACGCATGGAAACCCAAGGCTCGATTTGCGTGGAGGTTTGAGACGGAACAGGCGCAGCTTGCCTCGGCAAGCTGCCAGCAATGGCACGGCTTTGAAAGAATGGGTGTTTTTGCGGATTGGCTTTGCAGAGTTTGAAAATCCACTTGGCCTTGAAGTCGGGGGAAGGGCACATTGGTAAGCCCTTAGTCTAGAAAATGGTTTGGACGCTCGATTGCTGGAGATAAGCTGTTTGGTGCTCCTTTGGCGCTCTGTAAGGCGTGGATTCGCACAGTGCGCTTTCACTGCATGTGACATTTGATCCGGCATTTTCTGTACCCTTGCTAGCACGAGGCACGCCAAGCTGACATGCCGAGCAGATTTCAAGAAGAAGGAGGCTTCGCATGTCATTTCCTTGGAGGTTTGAACATTTTCTGTGGTTGCCAAGGTTGAGTGAGCTTTGCAGGGAACGTATGGGTTTTGCCGGGTCACCAAACCGTTTCTTCCCCCCCTGACACTTCCCATGCGTGCGATGTGCACCAAAGCGTCAAGCATTCAACCACCAAACCCATTAAAAGAACACACGCAGAAAGCTGCTGACTTGAGGAGTTTTTCTTGGGCAACTCGCTTGAACCCTGCAAAGTAGAAAGCTGGAACAAAACGACATAACCACAAGAGCCCAAGCAACATATCCCTCAAGCAACAAGGCGCAAGCAACACAAACCTTATGGGGCACAAAGGGATGTGCCATAAAAGGAAACATGGGTTACCATCAAAGGAGATCTCCAGGGGTCAAAATCCCCCCTCCCCCAGTGGGGTGGGAATGGAACAGGTGCTCGACGCGCGGACCTCTTGGATTTGGCAGAGTCCTTCCCCTTCCAAGTGCTAAGGTGTCAACCCCCTTGAGAACCTATCACTACTGGACATGTCTTTGTTCCTTCCATTTTCATCAAAATGATCATTTGCTATGTTTTTGAAACGCCCGTGAAGCTTGAATTGGATCACCATCACGCAGCAAAACAAAAACACCTACTCCCTGGCAGTGGAACCCCCCCAAAAAAAAGCCACAACAACAACAACAAACCCCACCACCGGACGCCTTTGTGGGGCGGCTCATGTCTCCCCGGGCTTTTCTGGGCGCCCCGCGCGCAGCTCCGAGCTCCGAGGCGGCCACGGCCTGCGGGGCATCTTGAACGCCGGGCTGCCGCGCGCGCTCTCGGACCAGGCGCTGCTCTTCGACCGCTTCGGGCGCCAGGCGGAGATCGTCTTCCGGCCCCTCTGCCTCTCGGCTCCGCGTTGGCCGGGGCCGGCTCCGGCCGGTGGGGCCGGTGGGAGCGGTTTTTGCTGCCATCCCCCAGCCAATCCAAGTGGTTGCGACGAAAGACGGCCCTGCCAAAGTCTCAGTAAGGGCTCAGTTGAAGCAAACTAGGGAGAAGGGTTGAAATCCTATTCGAGCGAGAAACACTCAGATTCTTGTGTTCTAGGTCGACATGTGATACTATGGTGTTCTTGCGCTGCTCTGAGGATAGGCGCTTTGCTGCTTTAAAGCCTGAAGATGTCAATTCAGTTCCCCTGACCGAAGGAAATACACACCCTGCTGCCTGTCTTGCCAAATGGCCAGTCTTGTCTGACGGCAGATTCAAAGGGCAACTTGGCCCATCTTCACCTTGCTGCACCTGGGAACCAACTGGCAAAGGCCCCCACTGCGCGGGCGGACCGGAAAGGAGCCGCCCCCACAAGACCGCTTTTTGTTGAAAACGGAACCCTCTTTTAGATTCCTCTTTGGGGATCAACCTTGCCCGAGCAAGCTGTAAAGTTGCCAGGGTCAAGAATTTGAAAGGCAGCGGAGTCGGGCAACCAACCAACCCAAATCAGAACTCGTTGCCAACTTCAGATTAGTCAGCATTCTGTCAGCATTACGATGGTTGGCGGAATCTCCCTCAAATAAAGAAATTCCCCGATCGACAAAGATCCGGCCCTGACTAGTGCGGTCCTCCGGGTTTATTTGGACATGAACGAAGGAAGGAACTACTTGGGAACCCTGTGCAAAAGCACACCATGAATCCCACCACTTGGGTGTGTTTTTTCAAGGGGAAGACGCCAAATGCTGGTTGTCCGTTTGGTTTCCCTTTCAAACCCCCAAAAATGTACGCACCCTCGGTATTTGCAATGGCCAAAGAGCTTTCGGGTTCCTGAGCGTTTTCGATTTGACCTGCTCTGTCCAGATGCTACATTTTAACCACCATAAGCCGGCCTGGAAAAGCGCACGACAGCTCGGCAAGTTCACATCAAACGTGCCCAGTGAAAATTCACGGCGGCAAGATGACTAGGTACCCCAGCTAGGTGCCCTTTCTCACCCCTTTCTTGGTTGTGAGGGTTCCCCTACTAAAATAGACCAAAACAACTTATTCTAACCTCTCAAATCTGGAGGACCTAGCTGAGGTCAAGCCATGCTCACAACAAGTGACTTTTGCCTCGAGGCGGCCTGTGGCGGCTGCGGGACCTCTTTGAACTCCTCGTGTTCCTGCAGGACAAAGCGAGCTGCTGCTGCACTCCTTGCCATGTGGGCCTGAATTTTGATTGAGGACCCTTTGGTGGACATCATTTAGGTTGGGGATTCATATCCACCAACCACTTCTCAGAAATTCCCCATTGAATTCACAGCCATGTGGATGTGGCCTCAAGCTTTGCCCCTCCCTTCCACTACCATGGCACCTCTGGGAGGGTACCTGGAAGATTGGTTTTCTCTTCAAGGGACCCCATGTCTGGTGCTATGTTAGTTGGAGGGGGGTACCAAGCATTTGAACTTGCCAAATAGGTTGTTTTGTTTGATGGACCCCTTTCAACTTGTTGCCAAAGAGCCAAAGCTATCCGGAATTGTAATTGACCTGTTGATGCCCCACAGGGTTTGAGGGTACAAGAGCTTGGCTTCCAACGGGAGGCCCGGGTAGTAAACAACTCCAATAGTCTTGGTCGCTATGGCGCGAAGAAACAGCAGCAGCATTTCAAGAGCCTCTCATTTGGGTGTCTTTCTGGTCAGGATGGCCTTTTTATGGGAGTTGTTAGGGAAACCATGTGCGATGGTCAACCCTGCAGCCACGTTTAGCCCAAGTGGAAGGGGCCTTCATCAGGCAGGGAATGTCAGTTAGGCCGTTGGGCACATTAGGGTACCAAAGAAGCGGGACTCAGAAGCTTCATCTTCAATCGAGCTGAATCAATCCAGCTTGGCAAACACGCCGCCCCCAGGTTGCTCACACGCATTTTTTGTGTTTGAAGTTCTTCATGCGCAAGGCATCAGTCAGCCGTTTTGATTTCAATTTGTTCCCCCACGCCAAATACGTCCATTGTTTCTTATGTTCCCCTGTTGGTTTAGGGAATCTATCACTACTGGCAATGTCGTTTATTTCCAATCATTCTAGGGGTTGGTTCCCCATTCTTGTCAACCATCGTTCTTCCACAAACCAGCGGTTTCCCTGGGTTTTTGATGGTTTCCTGAAAAGAAGAAGGGTCCCTGGAAAGAATGGAGAAGGTAGCCCTAGAGTCATGTCCGATCACTACTGGACATCTTGCTCTTTTGGCAGAAGTCCAGAGGCAACCAGCCCGACATGCTGTTCCATGTTTTTCCGTGGGCGAGAACGCTTCTGGAAGCCATTTGGGGACCGCAGGTTTTGGTCCATGTTTCCATTTACCGGGATTCCATATTGGGTACGTATTTTTTGACCCACAGCCATCTCTTCTTTTTTTTTCATTTTCCCCGGCGGACCAAATCGGAAATGGAAGGAGTCCAGGGGCAACCCGCCAGGAGTTGGGCCTGGACGCCTCGCCCGCCACCTGCGTGGACGGGGGTTTGCGCCTGCCGCGCACTGCTCGGGCCACGCAGGCGCTGGAGGCGCGCGGTTTGGGGGCCAACGTCCGCATGGCTGGAGGGCATTTCTATTTGGCTCACTTCCTGAAATTCCTGGACTTCCAACTTTTTGGGTGGACCGTTTTAGTGGGAAACAGAAAAAGTTGGGACTTTCTGTGAGCAATCCACTCAGGAAGTGAGTTGCCAGCAAATGTGTTTTGCTTGCATACTTGGACTCTCCCAACAGCCGTTGGTCGATTTAAACCGATCCCTCTTTTGGCCAGGTTCTCAGCACCAGAGAAGTGTTCTCCCACAGGACAATACTAGGTCCCCCTTTTACCCTTTTTTGGGGGAGGGTTCCCCTACTAAAATCGACTACGGGAAAAAGGGTACCCTTATTCTAACCTCTCTACTGGAGGACCTGGACAATACAAGGAGGTGGATGGTTGTCCAAGTCGTCCTTTCCATTTACTGCCTCTCCTAACGAGGCCCTGCGACCGAATGTTTGGAAACGGGTTCACTATTTGCTGCTGCGTATGTCCTAAGATCCCCTCACATATCAGCTTTGTACCCTCCATATTCCCAGGCCTCTTTGGTATCCTTTCGGGGCCCCTACCCAAGCGTGCGGGAGTCAAAAACACAGACAGTGGGGAGTGCACGCAGGGATCGCATCTTAAATAAGAGGTTGGGACTCCACGCGGTTGCAGTGCGCTTGCCAGCCGCATCTGAAACCTCAAAACGGGGCAAAATGCTCTATTTGCAGGCGTGCAAGGGCAAATGGCTATGTCAGCACAACACCTTTGGTTTTGGAAGCAGCTGCCTTTCTACCATGTTTGCATGTGAAGTCACCAAGGGCGCGGGGATCGGGAAGAGTAGCCCTTGCAACCAGACAATTGGCTGTGTTAAATCTATCAACAAGAGCACAGGTTGTCGGAGCTGTGCTTTTTGACATACGGCTCGCAGCTTTTTTTATATGTACTCGTGTGGCGTGGCCTAGCCGGACCAACAAAGTTGGGTAGATCATTTTTCCAATTTTCCCAAGAACCACCGAGACCGCTCAAGCTGTCCCAAAGCCTTCAGCAAGGAGAAATGGAATGGTTCTTATATAATTCATCTCTTGTGGTTTTCTTTCAGGAAATCACGAGGTTCCAACATGCTGGGGTCAATTCCTATCGCACCAGCAAGAAAAACCAGGGCATCTTATGAGCCCTGGGTTCATTCATCCCCTCCCCCTTGTAAATGGAATTGAAAAAGGGAGGCGACCCCTGGAATTCCACGCTTGCTAGCGCAGCTTGTTTTGCCACGCTTGAGTCTTGTAAAAAAGGGGCTACCCGGATACAGCATCGGGCTCCCCCCGGCACATCCGTGCCGCTCCGCCGGCCGGGTTATTTACCGGCACGACCCAAAAACCTACCTCCCCTTCTTGTACTTCTCCTCGTAGTACTTCTTCCTCATGAAGTCCATGGACCAGCCGCGCCCGGCATGGTCATGTTGAAACTGGTTCCAACTCGTGTTGCACTTCTTGACCGAAGGCCTGCGCAGTGCTCCTGATGACGTTGCACTGCTGCCCTCCTTCTCCATCTCATCCTTTCCTCCAAACTCCATGCAAACCTCCTCTCCACTTCCAGCTGCACCGCCTCCTGATCCAGCCGATTCCATGCTTCCTGCAGCTCCCGAAACCTTTTCAAGCCTCTGGCCCTGCTTCTTGATTTCCACCTCCATGCCATCGACGATCAGCTTCATGGAAGTTGGCTTCTGCCGCTCAAGCCCCTTCTCCTGCGACCAACTCCTACTCCACTGATCCTCGACCTCGTCGATCTCCTTTCTTGCCAGCTTCACCCCCGAGTCGTCCCGGCCAACTCGCGGTTCCACCCACAACTTCTTCACCACACTGCTGGCAGCCTTGACCGTCCACCTGGCCACTACCGCCGCCCCAATTGCCATCAAGATGCCTCCCAGCGCCATGATGACGTCGATCGTCTCGATGCCCGAGACCTCTACTCCAGCTCTGGCTCCTTCAGCCCTTGCCACCAGGCTTGCACCAATCGCCATCATGATCCTAGCCTGAGCTTCACCTAGTTTGGGAGGGCAGCCCGACGGGCAGTGGTTCCTATCCAAAACAGCTGCGGTTCCGCGGCCATCCTCCGGGGTTGAGTCCGGTTCATCTGCCCTGGACTTCTTTGTAGGCGGTTCATTTTCCCTGCCTAATCTTCTCAGGCCCTTTTTCCTGGCTTCTTCCCCGTCAGGCCTCCCTACTGTCGCTGGTTCATTTTCCCTAGCGATCTTCCTTCCTACTGTCGCTGGTTCATCTTCCCTAGCGATCTTGATTCCTTTCTTGTGCCCTTCGGCGGCCCAGTGGCTCTTTTTGTTTGCCCAATGGCCTTGCTTCACCATACCAAGCTCAACCAGAAAGCTACCAAAAGCCTGACCCGACAAAAGCTTGGTGAAACCATCAGCAACCAACTGTACACCCGGCATGTGCTCCAACACCCACTCACCCTCCTCCAAGGCCCACCTCAACGCTGAAGCCCTGATACGAAGGTGTCGTGTCCTCCAATTTCCTGCTCCGTTGGATGCCAGGCTGATCGCCGCCATGTTATCCCCGTACATCCTCTTGTGCTCCACTTTCTCGCCAGTGACGACCTCCGCGAGCGACACCAAGGCTCTGCCCACCGTCAGCGCCTCGCAGTATCCAATCAACTCACCCTCCGCTGTGCTCTGTGCGACAAACGGCTGCCTCACCGACTCCCAGCAGATTGGAGCTCCTTCCACAAATCCCACGATGCCCTGCACGCTTTTGTCCTCCCCGCCCGACGCGTAGGAGATGTCCGCGAAGACCTCCACCATGTTCACTTGTCTCTTCATGCCAAGACCTTCTCTTGACGCCCATCCTCCAACCGGTCCATAGTTCAGGCCCCGATCAGTGGTCGCCTTGACGTACCTCAGCACGTCCTTGCCCAGGTTGACGACCTCCACGCCTTTCTTTGTCCATCTTGACATAGCCGCAACTGCCACCGCAATGTCCGGTCTCGTCTTCGAAGCCAACCACAACAACGCACCCGTTATCGCCTGAGCCTCTCTGATCTCTTCCGGGGTGCCATCCTTGCTGTCCTCCTCCGGTAGCTTGTAGCTTAATGCCTCCGTGCCCTCTTTGATGTCCCACTTGGCCACCAGGTCTTCCGCGAACGCCTTCTGGTTCACCAGATAGCCTCCATCCTTCTTGTAGACCTCAAAGCCACAGAACCTCATGGGCACCTCAGCCGTCGCCCACTCCGCCGGGGACAACTTCCAATCTCCATCATCCATCCTTGCTCTGGCCGCCTCAATGACCTCGTCCTTGCCGGCCAGCATCACGTCGTCCACGTAGATGGACATCAATCCTTGCACTACCCCGGTCTCGGCCTCGATGATCCTCCATAGATTTGGCTCCTCCGTTTCCAGAAATTTCATCTTCTTTCCACCTCCTTCCCATTCCATCTTGCGGATCTCCACGTCCCGGTGCACGCTCCAGTCTCTAGGACTTGTGGTTAGTCCATAAACCGCCTTGTCGACGACCCACATTTCATCTCTTTGGGCGATGCCCAGCTCCTTGAACACCGACGGGACTTCCATTATGATCGTCCTGCCATCGTCTCTTCGCGGAGCGTTGAGAAACGCCGTGTGAATGTCTGTGCACAGGAGGCTCCATCCTCGCTGTCCCGCAGTTCTCAGCACCATCCGGATTTGCAATCCGTCTGCACCTCCCGCGTACAGCTTCTCCGCGTCCTTGCCGGCTGAGTAGTTGCCGCACACCACTCCTCTGACCTTTCGGCGCCCATCGGGCGCTTTCCTGGTGCACACCGCCTTGGCTGGAAGAACTTCGACAGGACCTTGAATCTGATCGATGTCCCTCTTCCTGATCGGCTTGACCGCCTTGCTTTCCTCCACCAATGCCGTGTATTCCTTCTGCGCTGCCGCCTTCCACTCTTCTAGTTCACTCCTCACCTCGCCCATAGACACCGTCTTCGTCACGAGCCACTCCTCTTCTGCCTTTGCTGCGCCCTCCACCTGCATCCGGTTCAGCGCCGCTTCAATGTGACTCCTCCGTTGAAGTCCTTCCCGCAGTACTCCAAGCCACATTTCTTGATCTTCTCCTTCTGCATCCAAGATCTCGAGCTCTTCCTTGACCCATTGAGTAGCATGTTGATGCCATTTTTCAAAGTGGGCCTGATCCTCTACCTTCTCCCCCTCGACGACCATCGTCGACATCGCCGTCTTTTCCCGCAATCGCCTCCTTGGCCTTTCCGCTCTTGGCATCAGGAGGTCTGCTCCTACTCTTTCTTCAAGTACCACTTCCTCCCCCGGGTCGATGATCACCTCCTCAGGCTCCCTGATTGCATCTGTAGTTGCGAAGTGCCGTCCATCTTCGCAGCTCCTTACCCAATAGCCGCCTGATGTTGTCGACATCACTGCATCGGGGCCCATGATCTTGACCCGTTCGCGGTCAAACCTCCAATCCTGACCTCTTTCATTCCAACTCTTCTTCTTCACATAGGCGACCGTTCCCCACGGCAGCATTTCCTTCACGGGCAGGCCAACCGCATGCAATTGCCTCCGTAGACGCCGTTCTCCAGCATGCCTCAACGCCATCGGCCACAAGGTAGCTGGTTCTCCGCCCGCCTTCAGCAATGTTCTCGTTGCCCTTTTCAGGACCCCGATCTCTGCCTCAACCCGTCCATTCTCTTTGAAGGCGTCCCCCGGAACCGTGGTCTTCACAATGTTCCTGTCCTGCGCCCAACGCTTCAACTGCGCTCCCATCAACTCTCGAGCTCGGTCCGTGTGCAACCTGTAGACCGGCAGACCCATCTCCCTGAGCCTTGCATAGATCCGCGCAATCGCGGGGATGACGTCTGACGCCTGTCTCGATGTGATCGGCTCCACAAACGTCAAGTTGGTAACCCCCACATCCTGCATTTCTTCCACCATTTTCTCCCAGATGTCCCCCGCCTTGATCTCTTTTTCAACCTCTTCTTCGGGCATCTGCTCCCTTTCCTCTTTTTCTTCCA